ATTTGGACCATTGCTCGATTTATGCGTGTCATCCTTGCGCAGGGGCCATCCATGCTAATTAGTAATTACCCTTCTCTGTATCGTTCCGATTTTAACGGATGTCCCGAAGGACCTTCTCCTTTTTTTCAAATAACGTCACTCAGGAGAAATGAAACATGTCTGGAACAGTCGGAGTGAATGTCTCCGTGAAAAAGGGATACTCCCCGCGGTGAGGGGACAGGAGGTCACCATTTGTAAAATGGACAGGGACAACGTGGATGGCCAAATGCGTTCATTGCCCAAAGAAGGAAACGAGTTTGATAACCAGAAAGCCAAACACAGCTGTCAGAGTTCCTCCGTTTCAGGATGCAATGATGTCTAAAAAAACAAAAAAAAGGAAAGGCATTGCAGTTGAGAAATGTACCCTACCTTCTGTAGGGTAGTTTTCTCAATGGAAAATGGTTTCCCGCCCAAACCAAAAGGACCAAAGCATACTACAAAACGGATTTCACGTCAAAGAAAAATTCTAGAAAACGACAAAATCTAATAAGAGGTTATATTCTCCTGTATTTCCGTACCATTAGATCGCGATACATCAACGGCAGAGCTCCGTTCCGTCCCACCATGCCACACGTGATAGAAAGCTCAGCGTTGAGAAAACTCAACGCTGTAGGTGGGACCAGACCCCAGAGGGCGATCATATTACGTTTTTTTTTTTTTTTTTTGGTTTTGGCGAATGCTACCCTTTTTTTTTTCCCACCATCATTTACTAATTAACATCTGCACCCAAGAGCCTTAGTCATCATCATCCTCATATCTGCAGCCCATCGCCATCGTCAAAATAAAATAAAATGCAGCCCATCGCCATCGTCAAAATAAAATAAAATGCAGCCCATCGCCATCGTCAAAATAAAATAAAGTAAAATAAAATAAATACGCGCAGCTAGTGAGATTGCGTGTATACAAGAAAGTATATAGCCATTGTGGGTACTTGTGACACACGGGGATGGGGGCAGCCGGCGCTCAACCTGTCTGTCATCCACGTGGCCGGCCTTGTAGTACGGAAGAGGTGATGAACAGAGGCGTAGCTTTCCTTCCTTTCTTCTTTCCTTTTTTGGCTTTTGTCTTTTCTCGCCTTTGCGCTCCGATACACGGTGTGACAGTGTGACTATATATATATATGTCCCGTCGTTTGGCCTGTGGTGCAGGGGCGGTGCTTGCATGGGGGACTTGTCATCTGGGATCTGTTTTGTTGCCCCCTGTTCTGTTTTATTTGGCTGTTCCCTTCCTCTYTTCTTTGCCTCTTTGCCTTTTGGCTGTGTGCAAGTGGGTCGATATGACACACGGGGGTGGGGGCAGCCGCCGCTCAACCTACATCCACGTGGGCGGCCTTGTACGCAAGAGGTTCTGAACAGGGGGAGTTGTAAGGAAGAAGATAAAAAAACAAATTCATTTTTTTCTTTTTTTTTTTTCTTTTTTTCGCTTTTGCGCTCTGATATTTATGTGACGATATATATGTATATACAGAACTGCTCGGTGTATATGTGTATATATTGGTAATATGTAAAAATATAAATTCACTGGGAAGTACTCTTTGACGACCTATATATAAACATTTGTATATATTTGTATATATTTGTATATATTTGTATGAACAGGGGGAGTTGTAAGTAAGAAGATAAAAAATGAATTTACTTTTTTTCTGTTGTTTTTTTTCGCTTTTGCGCTCTGACATCTTTGTGACGATATACATGTTGCCGCAGAGAATTGCCCTGTAAGAAAGGGAGAAGAGGAGAAAAACGGCGCGCTGTGACAATGTTTTGTTGGACTTTCACCGATTATATATATCGTCATCTGTATCTATATTTATATTTATATTATATATATGTTTGTGACGATATATATCGTATATGTCTTACATATTGTATATATTTTATATATCATATATCGATATTATATTTATCTCTATGTTGACGT